TTTTTTTTTTAAATTATCTGAACGTTCACAAACTTTTGAGCAGGCACTATACAGTACAGTAGAACGAACGAAAAAGATGCCGGAAATCATTTTGAACAAAAGGACAAGCGCATGTATTTTTTCTTTTTCTTAACAATAATAATTGTGTGGGCCACGCAGAGATCAACAATAAACAAGCGAGCGCCGAACCCCTTTCATGAAATTCTCACAGTCAATGCCTTTTCGTTGGTGTTCCCATGGTCCACATGAACAAAGGGTATATGCGAGACATACATTAACAAAGGGTATATACGAGACATGAGCCAACGCCGGTTGAGGCCGTTGCAAGGAGCATATAAAGCGCTGAGATACTCGCACACTTTCCTTCAACCATCACCCGAGCCCTCAGAAGAAAGTGTCGAAATGCTCGACCACCTTACACCCTTTTTCGCGCTGGCAGCAGCTGCACTGGTACTTCTGCCGCTTCCTTACCATATCAAAAGCCGGAACGTGGGCACCCTCGCGCTGTCAATCTGGCTATTCATCGGCAATATCGACGGCGCAATCAATTCTATGGTCTGGTGGCACTCTACTTCGAACAAAGCCGCTTTTTTCTGCGAACTAAGTAAGTTATAAAAGACATGACACGAAGCTGGATGACACTAACGATGTTTTTCTGGACGCTGTAGGTGTTCGCGCACGTCACGCAGTGTACATCGCAATTCCCGCCTGCAATCTTGTGATCGCTCGCAAGCTGGAAAGCATCGCATCCACGAGGCAGGTCCACGCGACTGCATCAGACCAACGGAGGTCGGTGATTTTCGAACTCATGATTACCGTCGGTGCACCACTCGTTTACGTGGCGTTCATGATCGTGAACCAAACCAATCGGTTCGGAATCCTGGAGGAGGCCGGCTGCTGGCCATTTCTGAAGTTATCATGGGCATGGGTTGTGCTCGTCGCAGCCCCTGTCATCGTGGTATCATCAATTTCCGTCATCTACAGCGGTGAGTATCACGTGCTAGCGAAGGATTCGAAGCGAAGTTCAACCTGCTGACTGCTATCGGTCCATCTACTAGTGCTAGCGTTCCGATGGTTCTGGATTCGAAGGCGCCAATTTCAAGCCGTTCTGGCAAGCAGCGCCTCAACAATCAACCAATCGCGCTACGTCAGGCTACTCGCCCTCACGGCTGTGGACATCCTTCTATTCTTCCCAATATATTTGGGCACGACAGCTGCCGAAATCAGGAGCGCCATCGTCAAGCCTTACGGCTCCTGGTCACAAGTCCACGAAGACTTCGGCATTATTCCGGAGTATCCAGCCGTGCTAATCGAGGCACAGGGGCTCGGTCCAAGCATCATTATCTCGAAGATTGTCTGCCCAGTCTCCGGGGTCATCTGCTTCGTTCTGTTCGGTCTCGGACAAGAAGCTCGCCAGGGCTACAAGGCCACAGTGTTAAGGGCATTGATTGCCTTGAAGCTGCGTAAGCCGCCCAAGCGTCCAACTCCAGAGTAGGTAACACCTTGCTTCGTCGCGCTCGAAGACTGACTTGTGCTAAGCGCAGAATACTGACAGTCTTTCGTTCCCTCTTTCGCGTCTCAGGCCTGTCATCGCTGACATCGAGGTCGTGACATTCCAGTCCCGCGACGACTGCTCAGCTTCTCACAGGAGCCCCGCATCTGAAAAATTTGGTGTACACACACCAAAATTTGGAGAAGCTTAGCGACAATCACCATTTTTCTTTGAAATATATTTCAGTCTTCTGCTATGCTATCGCTCACGATTGCGAACTTAGGGCTACGACTGAAAGATCACATTTCCGGAACTGCTTGAGATTCTCGCTCAATGTAATTGAATGAATTGGATCGCAGCTCAACTCGCGTGTCATCCACATTGACGCATGTATCCCAGCCCTTCTAATGATGTACCTGTTTAAATCTTGCCTATCTGTCATCGATATCACTCAGCGATCTGAAAGTCAATTTGGAAACATCCTTCTCGAGGCCACACCAGAATCCTGCAAAGTCTACCTTGTGCACGAACTGATCGAAGTCAGGACGCATAAGAGCACTATCTTTGTACTCTACTGACCCTCTGGTTCGGATTGCAACCTTTTCCTTTCTTTCGGCACACGAATCGGTTTTGCTCCTACTAGACACCTTTCGTCTAGCTGTAACTTATGCGATCTGTCCAAACTTGCACCACGAAAGAGCGTTTGCCCACACATTTGTAATAGGGAACAAATTCAATTCAAGGCACACGGAGATGGTGAACATCAGGAGGGGTCCCAAGGGAAACGATTGTAATATCGGCAACAGCGACCATCACCTTGCGATCGTATGCCTGTTGGACGATGAGCGAGATGAAATAAATGAGCACGTAGTCACTCGTAAGAGACGGTTGTGTTTCTTAACACTTACGATCGTTAGGACGACTATTTACTTGCGCGATGCTTGGTTTGGCGCTAAGTGAGGCTACTGCAAAACACATCCGCTCGTCCAGGGGAGGCCTCGCTGGCCAGGAGCTTCCAGATTGACTGGGGCCTGCTCGGTGGCAACAGCGTCGACGGTGACGGGGGCGAAGAGAGTGATAGCGTCCATTTTGATGAGGGTCAAAGAATGGCTCGGAAGACGAGGGGGTTCTAGGAGAGCTTGCTAGATTGGAAAGAGAGAATGTGATGGTGTGTGATAACGAGGACGAGTGGAAGTATCTTCTACTTATATCCGTCGAAGGGAACAGAACAGCCTTACAGAATATAGGTCTCACCGTTCGAGCACATAGGCAGTCGAGCGTGTCCACACTGCTGTAAGGAGAACTTGCGTAATACGCACTGTGAGCTACAGAGTGCGGTAGCATATGCACAGGTGTTCTGCTACGGAGTTGCATAGGCATTCGACCGACACTCGGTAGATGACTTTCGACAGCTTGTCCGGATGGAGCTTCCCTTTGTGTCGTGCACCTGCGAAACGAGTTTTCTTGTCCGTAATTTCGCTGGCAGCCTTCCCCCCCCCCCCCCCCCCCCCCCCC